TGCTGAACTATGCAGTAATGGAAGGGAGATTGAAGGTTATTTCAAAGAACCAGTTTGTTGAGAAATGCCTCCTTTATTTAAATAAGCTCAGTCATTTTCTCTTTTAATAGTATTTTCAACAGACCCCACCCAGAGACACATGGTTAATGTCTGTCAGTGTCCAACCTGGATTAGCTGACTAGGTATCAGTGAAACACACCGCTGCACTCCCTACCAAACATCAAACTCAGATTTGTTTAAAAAAAAAAAAGAAGCTCCAACCAACCATATCTTGTTTATCATCTGATGCATGCGAGACTCAACTGGTCTTTCTTACTTGTGGGCCTGGTGTTTCGTAATGAAGAAACATGTCACCCAGTGCAGTGTTGCATTTTTACTGGTGTGCATTTAATCGATGTTGCACAACAGACAAACTAATCCTGGCTGGAGAGTGACAGATTTTAACTGAGTACAGCAAGCAAAGTCACACTTGGTTTTAGTATCTGTATGGGGATAATTGAAAATACTAATATAGAAAATGACTGACCTTATCCTTTAGGTTTGAATCTCAATGTGTGATAAAACTGTGTATAATATGAAAAATGATTTTTGAAAGCCCCTCTGTGTGTTTCTCACAGTAGTGGTAGATGTCTTTTTGACAGTGCTTGGGCATCATGGGATGCGGATGTAAACCACAGTGTTCTCATCAGATCTGTACAGTCAATGTTATGTTTAGATTGATGCCCATATTCTTGCATTATAACTTTTTGTCAAATGATATTTGGTTGCCCTTTTAAACGGGTTTTTCCAGCTTCATACAACAAGGCTTTCAAAAAGCATTTAGAACATGGGTGGAACCTGATAAAATGTGACTTGATACGCTTAGACATCCAGGGTATTTTACTGTAACTACATTACACTAAATGTTAAAATCTAATTACACCACAATCATGACAGTCAAGGAACTGTAAATTTTGTAAAATTCAGTTTTTTCCCCAAAGAGATGAGAAGATTGATACCACGTTTGTATCTTTGTGCAGGAAACTACCACCAGTTAGCCTAGCTTAGCATAAAGACAGTGGCTAACAAAAAGGTTTCAAAATCGACCTAAAGTGCAGTAATGAACATGTATCTTGAGAGCCAGGGCTAGTGTTTCCCCTGTTTACGATCTTGATGCTAAGCTAACAGGCTGCCGGTGGTAGCTTCTTGAATTGTACAGACTCGAGGAGTTGTATCAATCTTCTCATGTAAACCTTAGCAAGAACATGTAAACCAGAAGGTGGATGGACATCCGCCAAACCCTGATAGCACAGGACAGTGAGCATCTAACTTGAGACAACTATGTCCAGCCGAATCCTGGACTAAAATTGGCTGTGGGCCAGGCTTTAGTCCTACAGATTCTAAACCTACCCAGCATGCAAGGCACACACATTTATTTAATTAATGGGCCTGAATATATGGATAGCATCGAACAGATTTTAGTGAAGAACTGAAATGCTTCACCTGATCTGTTTTTGCATAGAAGTAAATAGAAGTGATTTGTCAGGGCAGGGCTGTAGAGAGGAGGGACAGGTGCCTACTGTAGATCATGTTCCAGGGGAAAAGCAGTTCAATGACTGACTGACCCTCCCATGCCCAGCCAACACTAGCAGAGCTGTTACTGAGCTGCTTGAAAAAAAGCGAGATGAGCCAAAATATTGAATCACCCCTGCTACTAGCTACATGACATGACTGCACAGTAAACCCCCAGAGGTTGCCTAAGGTCAAAAGAGTGTCTTCATGTACTAACCATTGCTATTGTGTTTATTTTCATTCCATCTCCTCCCCTGTGTATTATGTCACAGAGTTACTTGGCTGCTGTTTTCTGTAAAGGTAGACACTCTTCTCCTGCTATTGAAGTGCACATGCCAGGGGAGATTTTATACAGAAAGCCTGAGTCATGCATGCATATGTATGACTAAGGACTTTTACAATGTAAATAACAGAAAACGGCTTTGTAATTGTTGCGTTTTGCTGTTTGTGGCGCGCTCTATAATGATTCCTGTCATCGTTTTAGCCAAAAGCATGATGACTTTCAAAGGAACTTGTTTCTCTTTTCTCTTTGTTTCTTTTACAAAATGTATAATGATAAAATAAAGTGATGACAAGTTGACTATGAAAATCAGCTTCCGCATGTTTCTGAAATATTCTTAAAGGGACACTCCACTGAGTTTGCACATGCAGTTCAGCCTCAGGACAGAGAACTCAGCCTGTAGAACCAGGTTAATCTACCTCTTCTAACCATGTTAACAAAACTGGTCATTTTAATTGTAATTATAGACCATTTAACAGACTACCTGACACCGACATTAATAGAAACTACAGTAGTGCATGGACACTGTGCTGAAGTGTTGTAGTTTATTCGTCACTGCTCACCCCGTCCTCACTCATGACTCCTTGTGCTGCATTTGCTCCGCACTGTGCTGCAGAAGCTCTGAAAGTAGAAACAAAACAGTGAAAATATTAATTCTACTTTATTTATTTGCTATTCACAGAATGATAAATCGCTGATATACTGCATGCTCTTTGAACCCAGCGTCACCTGAAGACAAACTGGTTGTTGCACTGCTGCAGGTCACAGAGTCTGTCACAAAGTTCAATCCTTCTCAAGTTACCAAATATAAAAGTAGTTTCTAATTTTACATGTTGGACACTAGATGAATACTTGAAGAACCTGTCATTCCCATTTTTTTCATGAAACAGGAGTGCCGTCCTTGAATGAAGAACCTGTCATTCCCATTTTTTCATGAAACAGGAGTGCCGTCCTGCAGTTATCACATTTTGTAGTTGTTTCACTGACAGTGGAGCAGAAATGGAACCTTAGTAGTAGAGTCTATCGCTTAGGTAATAGATTGTCTGCACTTAGGCAAAACATCAGTCCATCATCTTTGTTTTACGACAGCACTTTTCTTCCGAGTTTTGATAGGTAACATGTAATGCACAATACATATAACAGTTTCACTGAGTTTATCTGTGGGGTCAGGGGGCCAGAGTGTAAACTAAAGAACATGAATAACAGACTTGATAACAGATTCATTTGGCCACAATTGTGAGTATTTTACCAATTTGGAACCAGATCCAAAACAGAACCAACTAACAGAGCCCGTCTTTATCATTACCTGTGGGTGGAACTGGTTGGAACTGGTTACTGCAGCAGGACAGTTGTGTCCTGCTGCTGCCCACTCAAAACGCACAATAATGATGTTGTTGAGTGGCAGAGATCATCTGCAAGCACCCTCAGACACCGAGGCAAGGAGTTTAGTGAAAGGTCGGATCCAGCAAGGAGCTAACAAGGTCAAAGGTCAAAGTGTTTATTTGTCATATGCACAGTTAGGAAACGTGTTTCCCTGTACAATGAAATTCTTACTTTGCCGTTCACATGAATGCCACAAAATACAAATTAAATATAAAGTAGATGAATAAGTAACACAAAATCTAAGACACTTTAAGCAGCAAATGCAGCAATATAATAAAAATATATAAGAATATAATAAGAGAATGTATGCTGCATGGGAGCAGCATGTGCAGCAGTCAACAGTCAATGTGCAATTATGCATGTGCAAACTGAGAATATAAACAGTACAGGTCGACAGTACATCACGTATTTCCTGGTAATAAAGTCCTCAGCTGTTTAGGAGTCTGATGGCAGAGGGAAAGAAAGAGTTTTTCAGTCTAGTGGTCCTGCATTTCACACTTCTGAACCTCCGGCCAGAGGGTAGGGAGGCGAACAGTCCATGCTGGGGGTGGGTGGGATCTTTGAGGATGGAGGCAGCCGGGGATTGCCAAATCTGCAGCCACATCTCTGTTAATGTGTTTACTGACAGTCTACCAACTTTGTGGTCATGCGGTATTAAATCACTGGAGTTTCCCTTTAAAAGGCGATGCTCCCTGTCAAGGTGTAGTTCCTGGTTTGTCCTGCTGCTTCCAAATTGTTCAGCACCAGGAAGGCTGTGATTAAATTACACAGTCTGTGTTGTGGTGTCTCAGCTCTCTCAAATCCTCTTTACAAGCTCTGCAGATTCCTCCTAAGAAAATCCTACAAAACCAAGAGAGTTTCTATTCTTGAGTTATGGCACATTTGGCATGCCGTAAGTGTATGTGCCAGAGTCAGCTCAGTTGATATAAGTATAGCTTTCCTCCATACTACTATAATTAGGGCAGTCTTGACACTCAGCTATGCAAACAGGCCCACTGGTGCTGCTCTCCCAGACATAACCACAAGCCAACTCTCAGATAGTCCCGAGATATTATTTTTAGTACACTGATTCACTACAAACTGTATTACCTCATGTATTTCTTCACTTAGAATCAAATCCAAACACTGAAGGAATCATTAACACATATGGTAACAATCAGCCCCTTCTGGGGCTGACATACTATATGTCTTACTACTGAGCATGTTTTTAATCGTGCCCTGTCATGTGGTGAGTTCTTACAGAGGGGGAGTGACAAAAATACCTCAGCTGTGGATTCTGCTCAGATCAGAGTCCTGGAGGACAATATATTTCCTAAACTGAAGGTGATGAACAGACTGTTCCTGCCAACTCGGGTATCACTCACCAAACAAACAATCTGTGGATATGACTATTAAATTTTTAAAAAATTTAACAGCCAGAGAAGTGGATGCAATAGATAAGGCGAGTGACCACATGAGAGACTGTTACCTAAATGTCTTATGTCTTTAAATCAGATGTTTATAAATCTGCCTCTATTTACCTTTAAAAGATCCCAAAACCTTTTTGCAACTGATGTTTTTAGCAAAAAGGAGACATTTATCAAAGGCTGTTTTCCTTGTATTAACTGATCTGCCTATGACACTCATGAAAACAGGACACACAGTAAATGTGCCAAAGGTTGGCTGAGCATTTATATTTATTTTGACTAATGTTTTGACCTACTGTCCCCTACAGTGGGTATCAGGCCATGTAATCCCATTAACCTCACCAAAACTGAACGCCAAAGGTCAAAGTGTTTGCCATATGCAGTTAGGAAACGTGTTTCCCTGTACAATGAAATTCTTACTTTGCCGTCCACATGAATGCCACATAATACAAGTGAAATATAAAGTAGATGAGCAATAACACAATTCTAAATAGGCAGTAACACAAATTTAAGGCACTTTAAAGCAGCAAGTGAAAGAAGCACAATGAAAATACAAGAACGTATTAGCTATCTCACCAACAAAAGCTACGTGGGTGTCAAATTGTATTTGTATGGGAGAGTGCAAGTCCATCTAACTCCTGGACAAGCTACACTGCAGGTTCCTACCACCAGCAGCATGGGGTTAACCCCTCAAGCCAAGTAGTCGCCCTAGCTACTTGTTCACAGCATCCACCCCTATCTAGCTAGGTTACCTGCTAATTGAATTAGCTGAGCATGCTAGCACTGTGCTAAGCTAACCAGCATGCTGCCCGAGCCACCACATAAACCAAGCAATATTCACCCAGCTTGGTAAAATCAAATAAACCTCTCCAGCTGCTTCATCTTAGCAAACAACACACATCCGTTTAAAGCATGATAGGTCCACACTGCAACTTCAGCTCTTACCTGTCTTAGCCCAGCTAGCTGTGGGAGCAGCCATGTTCTCCGTTGCCTGTTCAGGGTCAGGTACGGAAGAGGATTGGGGTCAGTCTAAATGTATTTGAGTTTGACTTTTATCAAAGTTCAGACATCCATCTATTATCTGTACCGCTTATCCTAACGAGGGTCTCGAGTGGGCTGGAGCTAATCCTAGCTGACATGGAGAGGCGGGGTCCACCCTAGACAGGTCGACATGTCTGACTTTTGTTTCCTGTTTGTTAAAGCCTACTTCTATTGTCAGCAAGTTTTGTTTACATTAGGCATGAATTCAAAGAAAATAAAATCACATGAAAATTAACAGTATAGTTACAAATTCATCACAACTATCCAAGCTTCAGTGAAGATAACTGTTTCAGAACTATTCCTCTGTAGTCTTGTGATACCTTTGGGCTAAATGTTACCTTTTTATAGCCTACCATCTAAGATTCACAGATGTGAAGGGTCTAATTCCTGTTTTAAACCCCTCCCCATGCTTCCCGGAATACATCTGAAATGGACCTATAATAAACCAAAAAAATGTTGTTTTTAACTGGAAATTTCCCCCACATTGCTAAAGCCCTCAAATTCCTAGTAAAAATAGAGGATGCATGTCTGCAGTGCCCTCCATGTAGTTATGGCTATGAAGCTGGGGCCTACACCAACAGTTCATGTAATATTGCCATAATGTAAAGAAAACAGGGAAGAAACTCTTAGAAAAAAAAACGCAAAGAGGATATGAAACTGCTGGTTTGTCTTTTAATCATTTCAACATAACACATGACAACTCAAAGATATACTGTACTGTACAATAAGTTCTGTTGTTGTGTTCATCATCTCTTTGGATCAACCAATATACAAATCTGTCCCTTTCACATTGCAACAAATGATTGCATGTGAGATATGTAACAAAAAAAGCAAGACTTCTCATCTTCTTTCTTTCTCTGAAGCATCATTTATATAATTCTCCCTGTAGTTGATAAACCCCATGATATAATATAGTGTAAATGAATGCAAATATTCTATTTTTGTTCACCTTTTTGATTCCAGAGGTGGCTGTAGTAGCAAGTAAAAAAAAATCTAATGGGCTAAATGAGATACACAAAGAGGTTGGAATGCAAAACTTACATTAAGCTAGAAATATTTAAGAAAAAAAAAGAAAACTACATGTGGATGTTGCCTGTGTCAGACAGTACCCAGTTTCTTACTAAAAGCCAAAAAAAAAAAAGGGGGGGGAGAGCAAGAGAGCGCATTATTAAACTCAAATCTGTTTTTTTTTTCAGGCTTAAACTGATGAACTAATTCCCTTAAATATTTGTGTTCTGCACCTACTAGTAAAGAAGAAGAGGTGAGGATAAGTGCATCCCTAGTAGGCGCAGGTCGAGGTAATGGAGCTCCAGCCAAGCCAAGGAACAGAACAACATGACTGCATGAGGTCGGGGGAGGATACCTTTCATAGCAAGTGTTTCAGAGTCCTGCTGATCTGGTATCAGATGCTCGTGTCCGCTCAGAACACGAATGCCAAAAGAAGAAACTTCACACAATTTAAAATTATGACACAATTAGACAAAGTGACATAATTTTCTACTGTGTATGTAGTAGTAAATATTACATTTGTATTTACAAAGTCAGAATTACTGGGAAGTCAAAATTTGTTGGAGATAGTTAAAGCTTTTTAATTTACCAAGTCTAAATTATGACACGTTTTTACAATTTTGACGTAGAAATTTATGTTGATTTAATAAGTAATAATCTCGCTTATTTCATAATTTTAGTTTAGCATTTTGTAATTTTGACTTCTTACGTTTTACCTCATATCTCATAATCTTAACTTACTATAGTATTAGCAATTAGTCATTTTGAATCTTTTTTTTTTTTACTTTAACCATTAGTTTTATTTATTTTAGTTTACCTAACTTTGTTCTTTTCTTGTACTCTTTTTCAACTACTTGATGAAAATGTTTAAATTAAATTCAAATTTTTACAAAATTCTCATTTGAATCTAAAGCCCCATCACTTCCACACTTCACAATGGAAAATGAAAAGTATGATTCTTGCACTGTTCACACGTGTGAGTCAATACAGCACAAAGCTGCTGCTTTTTAGTATGGACAACTCGTTCAGCGGCTGTATGCTTCAGGTGCCATGCTTTGAGGTCACTGTTGACATTCAGTTTTGTTACAGGTCTAAATATGGCCTCCAGATGGGTCTCTGTGTTGCAACAGTGTATCAGTTGCAGGTTGTGGCTTTGACACTCTACTAACAACGGCCTTGCTTCTCACCACCTCGTGATAACAGCTATGCTGTTGCTGTTCTCTGCTCAGGCACTTGGCTGTGGAGCTTTATTAGATACATTTATGGGAAAGAAGGCAAAGTTTGTTACTTCAAAATAAAAAAGGTTTCAAAACAGAGGGGCAGGGCACTTTAATGTAGGAGGATATTAGTGAAAAGTCTATCAAAAATACTGTTATTCTTTTGGGGAAGAGATATACACAAAGGTTGATAAAGTCTACACATCAAACTAATGGCACATACATATACAGGATCAATACAACATAAAAACATATGAACATATAAGCAGAAAATTTAAAAGAAAAAATACTCTTTTTTTAAAGGTTGAAAGTGCTAGAATTCAGATTAGCTCACAGAAACCCAGGGAGGACAAACTTAATACATGCCAAAAGCTTTTCCTTAACGTTCTTAGGACAACGTGAATATTTGTTATAAAAATATAAATGCTCAATTTGATTGCTACAAATTTGGCTTAAGCCAAGAGCTAATTCATTTAGGATCAATAATAAGCTTGATCATTTTACGAGATACATCATCAAAATAATGACCTTCCAGGGGCGAGACAAGAAAAAAAGAAGTTTCAAATTAGTTCAGAACTTGGATTATAAAATCTTCAATTTTAGCAACAGTCAAACTGTGGGGATGATTTTCGACATCAGTGCTCGCTGAGTCTGATTTTTCAATTGCTCCAACCTTCCACAGGGACTATTCACCCGTCTAACACACAGGGGCTGTCAGCTGCTCGTCATCGGTGGCTCCTACAGTATAAAAACTGGACTTTGTAACAAGCATTTGTGCAAAAGTGTAGTTTCTTCTCCCCAGGTTTTGGTAAGAAAAATAAAACTAATAAAAATGAGGTGATGTGTTGTGTTGTTTTTCGAGGTCCTGTTTCATATAAACAGAAAACAATATCATATGACAACAAACAAAACAAATACATGACTATCAGTGATACCCCGAGTCGTGCAGCCAGTCGTGTGTCCCAGTGTGCTTTGAATGTCAAAGCCCGGGAATCTGGTGACTGCATTCTTCCAGATATCGCCGTATTCTCAGACCCTCTTCTTTTGCCTCTACAAAGCAGCTGAGAGAGGAGAGGGAGAGGAGAGGGCCGGGCCGGGGCTGATGAACACTTTTTTCGGTTCAGTTTGTGCACGTTTTCAAACTTGCCGTCCATCTTGCAAAACAAGAACTGAAATGTTCTAGTGGTCTACAGTTGTCTTCCATCAGCAACTGTAGCTAAAAGCAGCAACATGTACTCTATTTCATTTTATGTGCTATGTGTTTCCTTGTTTGTTTGTTTTTACTCAACATTTTATAGTGAGTGGGGCTCACCTGTTGCATGACAACCACTGAAGGCAAAAGGAACAACAGTCACGCACAAAATGGCCTATCACAGGTGATGCAGGAGCTCAGCCCTGTGTGAAGCTATGGATATGCCAGTCGGGTTGGTCATGCCACAGGTAGAACATTAGGTAAAGAGCACCTATTTCACTTTGAGGCATAGGTTAACTTTGGGCTCAGGTTTTTATAGGCTGGTGGTGTATAGTTTGAAAGGCTCAAAACATCTAAAACCACTGAGCTCTGAGTGAAATCGTCAGCAATTTCATCACAGCATGTGTTACATAATCCACAAGATAAGGACCTACAGTCATAGATTCATCCATGTCAGCATCCTTATGACACTGTCCATCTAGTTCAAATCCTACTTGATTATTAAGCCACTAACAGCCTTCTACAAATACTTCCCCTCCACAGTTTGGAATCCGCTATACTAACTCAAGTGCACGTAAAGGTAAAGATTGAATATGACGGAGAAAACGTAAGGGCAAAAGCTATTACTTCATCCATTTGTTTCATCAAAAATGCAAGATACACACAAATGTAAACCTGCCAGACATCAAAACATCATCACTCAGTTTTAATACACCTACCTACAATACACCTTACTGAGATAAAAGCAATTATAATATTCATTTTTGAGATATTTCGTACACTGCAATAACATTCTTTAACACATTTTTCCTCATCGGCCACTGTAATTCTTGTTTTTAGCCATTCACATATGTCAGGGTTCATCATTACCATGATGATGCATCTGTGTACAAATGTGTCTGTATGAAATATTTTAGATGTGTTGGGCAGCTAAGAAACAGCTGCAGTAGGTTATGTCATTATCACGGGAAATTTTAAAGATGTCTGTTAGAAGGAAGACAGGTAAAGGAAGGACAGTCCTCACAAAAGAAACCAGGTGGATTCAAGGTTTTGTGATGGACTAGGGAGTAAGGAGAAAGTCTCAGTGTCAGGCAGTGAAAACCTCTAGAAGGAAGGAGACAAATGAGCTTCCTAAAGGTGAAGTGCCTTCAGCTAAAAAAAAACAAAAAAACAAAAAAACAAAAAAGTGCTTCTCTTGAGGAACAGTAAAAAACCAGCGGGACATTACATCATTTTCAACCAACTCACATGTTCACATTTCTCTCTTTTTTGTCTTTAAAAATGTGTGGCCATGTGTGTGACTGGTCTTTGTGTTCGGCAGAAAACAGAGAGCTCTTTATGAATCACAACGTCGGTCTCTGTTTTTCATTTAGTGAGCTTTTTTCCATTAAAACCTACCTGATTCTAGGAACACATCAGTTACATTTAAAAGTAAATAACTGGGACGTCCATCTAATTTTAACCTTGTTTGAAGAGCACTTTTTTAAAAGGCAGCGGTGGCCCTAGCTTAGCCATCAGCTTAGAGTTAAGATTCAGTTGCTGATTCTCTTCTTCTCTTCCTTCTCCATACTAATCATGACAGCTTATGTTATTAGAGTGGGTGCTTCAGAACTCAAGATGAAACTCATTCTACCATGTTCTTATATTTGGAATAGAAAAATAAAGTAAAACAAAATATCCACTTCAAACTATAGTTTTTTTTCTGGGTCACAACAAAACAGAATCTTCACTAAAAATGATCTTTGCTTTTTTTTTATATTATTACATTATGCAGTACCACGCCTTTTGGCCTACTGATCCTGCACTCTATACTACTAAATAAGGGATGGAAGGGGGATAAAAGAGGAAGTAAATGAATTTTTTTTAAATGGTTAATACATTGTTATAACTATAGGATGGGGAAAAAGCCCAAATAAAAGATGCTTCAACTTCTTTTCTCACCTTTTTGCTCAAACTTCCTTTTAAGGCTCAATCAAAAGCTTTGTACACTTTCATTTAAGGCTTCTAAGTGTTCATTTGTGTATTTATTTATTCTAATTCTTCAACCCTTTTATCAGGTCCTGTAAAATAACCACAGCCCAAAATATCCTTGCAGAGCTGAGCTGAGGTTGGCGTGGAGGCCATCTCGGCTGGGCAGGGCCAGGCCAAGGCTGGCTCTCTCACTGGAAGGCCTGGTGGAAGCGAGGCAGTGTGGTGGAACTAAGGCTGGAGCTGAACACTGGTGGGAGGGGGTGCAGGGGTCCCAGGCCCAGACCCCCACTGGAGCTCTGCTGCTCCTGAGGTTGCGGTTGCAAAGAGGTAAGAGGTGCTGTGGCAACTGCAGCTGCTGCCGCTGCGACTGCTGCAGCGTGGGGCTCAGCAACATGCAGAGATGAGGAAGAGGAGGAGGAAGAAGAGGAGGAGGTTGTAGATGAGGTGTAGCCCATTACTAGCCCTCCCGTGCTCATGGGGGCACTGTAGGGAGGCAGGTTCAGGGGAAGGAACCCCAGCAGGTGAGAGAAGTCCATGTTAGCAGCACACAGAGACTCAGCGATCACCGCAGGGCTCTTGGACAAGAGGGGATCCCCGCAAAGCTCATCTGTCAGGCCCGAGGTGGGCTCCAGTCCATCCTTGGGGGGCGAGGCAGCAGCGTGGGGCTCTGCAGAGGGAACCGGGCCGGGCAGGCCGCTCTGCAGATCCATGAGGAAGCTCTCCATCTCCACTTTCAGGGGCTTGTCCAGCAGGTATGAGGTAGATCCCAGCTGGTACTTGGGGGCTGGCTGGTGCTGCTGCTGGGGAGCCGGAGCCTGGTGGTGGGGAGGCAGTGGAGGGGAATGGTGGTGGTGGTGATGGTGGTGATGATGGTGGTGGTGATGGGAGTGTGGGTGAAGAGATCCAGGGGATTCCATGTGACAGCCCATCCCCATAGCTGCAGACAAGGAAGTGGGCATCAGGGATGGGTGTGGGTGACCCACCCCACTATTAGACATGGCCTGAAGATGGTGGGGGTTGTACATGCCCATTGGAAAAGGCGCCCCACTGGGGAATGGTTTGCCCATCATGGGGTCTTTGTTGGGACCCATGCTGCACATCATGGGGCTGAGCTCCTCCTTGACAGAACAAGGTGGTGACCCTGAAGCTAAAAGACCTAACATGTCCGGAGGCTCTGTCTTGATCTTCAGCAGCTCCTGGGAGTGGCTTTTCTTCACGTGGCGTGTCAGGTGGTCCTTCCTACCGAAGCGCTGGGCACAGTACTGGCACAGGAAGTCCTTTCGACCTGTGTGTACCACCATGTGCCGCCTCACATCCTTCCGCGTGTAGAAACGGCGGTCACAGTGGTCGCATGGATGTTTCTTTTCCTTGGTGCCACTTGAAGACTTCCCGGAGTGGCTCTTGAGATGCTCCAGGAGAACAGGTGTACTCTCATAGCTCTGCATGCACACTTTACAGGTGAGATCCCCTGCAGTGGCAGAGTGCATGGCCACATGGCGCTTATATCCTAGCTTGGTGTTGTAGTGCTTCCCACACTCCTCACACTTGAAGGCCTCCTTGTTGGGGTCATGGGTCTGCAGGTGGTTTTTCAGGTGGTCCTTACGATGGAACATTTTCTCACAGAATGAGCACTGATGTGTCTTCTGTGGAGAATGTGTGGCCATATGCCTGCAGAAAGAGAGAGGCTTTAAATAGTAACATATTTCATGTTCTGTTGTCATGTTTGTTATGCAGTCTGCCAGTAGTGCACTGCTAAAGTGAGGCACAAATTCCTTTAAATCTTATATCCAATTATATATAGATGAATCACAATGGTTTGCAAACAGGACCCAAAATGGATTTTGGAACCAGTTTCTGTGAGATTCCAAACATACTTGTATGTTAATGTCACTTAAACCTGCATTAATTTTTTTTAAGTTACAGAGCAACTTTATTGCTCATTTGGGGTCAGGTTAGCCACCTTGGCCACCTGATGAATCCAAGTCCCATATTCAGTTTCCTTTCAGCTGTGATTTTGATGTCCACCACCATCAACAAAATATCTGTTATCTTTGGTTTTAAATGCTCCAATTTGTTCGCCATCTTGTCGCTAACTGTGACTATATGCTGTCTGGAGCAGGGAAAAAAGTGTGCAGTGGGTTTATCAGAGCTTTTTCACTGAAAGCAGCTGCATCTGAAAAAGATGCTAATGAGCGCAGTGAACTGTAAAGTTGTGGGCCATGAAACAATGAGCTCACAGATGCTAAGGAGAACTTAATGATAAATGGGTTTGTTAATACGAGTGATCCCTTTCAAGTACTGATGTGATCCATTATTAATATAAAAATATTGATATAGTTACTTTGAAGCTTCTACTCTAGATTCCATTACTGCTTTCTGAAGATCAAGTCACTACTTTTTCTGGTTTACACATAGAGTATTGTTTCACAGGTGATTCTGACCCCTCATTTCCACCAGATCTGACTGCTTTGTGTTCCACCTTCACCCGGGGTTTCATCCGCCCTCTGTGCAGCTTCATCCCCCGCCAGGTCCGTCTGCAGCTTGTTACGGTGCAGATTGTTTCAGGTAGGATACTGTTCTCTGTTTTTGAGCTTCTACAGTAAATAGGCTTTGTGGTTGAATGGTTTCTTCTGTCTGTTAATTGTGTTTACTGTTCTTGTTTCCTACTTGTGCTGTAGCCCACAAACAACACCTATAGTTAACGGTTACATTTAATTTATTGGTTAAAGTCAAGTCATTATGAATTTGAAGACTTGTGGCTATGTTTCAGTTGTTACCAGAACATTCATCCTAATCATTTCGTTGCCTCTCTATGTTTCACAGAGGGGCAAGGCGCCATCTGATTGGTGGGTTCAAGTTTGTGAGAGGTGTCCCAGATGCGGCATCTGTCAAAAATAGACTAGATGTGTTTCATTAGTGAAGCGCACCGGAGAGCTGCATGTGGGACGAATCAGAGACAGAACGCAGCCGGACCCGGTGGGAATACAACCATTGATAAGACTGGCAGCGATCAGCTCCGGTGACCCTGTCACAGACAGAACGCAACGCAGCTGGATCAGGTGGAAATTAGGAGTAAGAAAGCTACAGAAGCATCATATTGTATTTAAAAGGCTGTGAACTTATCAATGTGACAAAGGATAAGTACCTGAAGAGTTTGTATTTGGAGCTGAAGGCCTTGGGACAGTGTGGCTGTGAGCAGTGGAAGGGTTTTTCTCCTGTGTGACTCAAGGCGTGGAGCCGGAGCTTCTCCTGTGAGGCGAACAAAGCCCCGCACACCAAGCACTCGTTCCCACTCGCTCTTCCTACCTCTGCTCCTTCTTCCCTCTCCCCCTCTCTGTCTTTTCCCCTCTCTCGCTCTCTCTCTGTCCGTGGCAGCGGGGCAGTGCTCCCAAACAGCTTGGCGGCAGTCCGTCGTCCCTCTTCCTCCAGTGTCAGTGCGGTAATACGGTGTGAGGCATCAGCGGCAGCAGGCTGGCCTGCGGGACCACCACTGCCGGAAATTGACTCGGGGCTCCCCTGTCTTCCAGGCTCAACGTGGGATGTTGCAGGACCTTTGTTGAAAAAGAAGGTGGCTGACCACTCACAGGAAGGGCCAATGATCCAGCAGTAACATCAAGGTAAGCCAAACTGTGGTGAGATAGAAGGTACATGCTTTGACACTAACTGTTTGCAAATTTGTTACACCATTTAACACATTTTTATTTAAAAGCCTCATTTTTACCTATTAAAATCTTTCTCCTGTCTCTGCACTTGCCTTCACTCTGGTGTTCTCTTCTCCTCACCCAGTCCCAACAGCTATGGTTGGCAGTGAGTGAGAAATACTGCTCCGCATCTTTACTGTCCTGTGAGGAGAAAGCAACATGACAAACATCAGGGTAATTCATCAAAAAATGGCTCTAGCCTCCTTCTATTTTACAGCTTTGGAAAAAAATGATAGCAAAATGCATTACTGTAGACGACATCTCAAAACCTCAGAATCCAAGCAAATAAAAAAAACGTCTCCAGGCCAGAATTCAGGAGGTTTAACTTGATATGTCATATACAAATTCTACTTTAAAAGCAAATTTCCTCTTAGCCCACTAGGGGGAGCTGAACAACAAGCATGACAGACGTGACAGGAACAGCAAAGGGTCAACAACCTAACTGTTGTATGAATGATGATTCTCTGTCTATATAACCATATGTGAACACTTAATGTAATCACATAGCCTTGACCCTCATCAAGTGTGTCATCAGATGACAGCATGCTGCACAAAGCCACCTTTGTGTGTGTGTATGCATGTGCATGTATGAACTTGTTATGAAACTGGGTAAGGCTCCTGTAATCCCCAGGAAAACACAGAAACACACACACCAGGGCAGAGAGAGGGTTGTGGTGGGTGGGGGGTGACAGGGGGTATAGTTTATGTTGCTAACTCGGGTTTCCTGGAACCAGCAATACCTGTCAGTCTGAATTCAACAAATTCCTGACGGCAACAGCAACAACAATCTTTGTAATCAAAAACAACATCACTGAAAACTGCAGCAACCTACAGCTGTTCACTAAAATAAACCACAAACTATATTAACTTGTGTGGCTGAAACACTGGCTGAACCCTTTCCTCCGTCATCTCTGCATTGTCTTGTTTACCCTCAGTGACCCTTGTTAGCTAACACACCAGCTAAGTCCAAGGCTGATTGGACACAACACCGATCACAGTATCAGCCATGCTCTGAGCATCAACACATGTGGACATATAGTATATGAGAGAACGCACACACACATGCATAAGGTCTGCACATACACTCACCAGCCATTTTATTAGGTACACCTGTATAATGGTATGCACTTCAATGCAACACTTGTGCCTTAATATCCATGTTTATGAGGCTCATAATGTTTCAGTTTTTGCTGAAATTGTCATAAATGTATAAATTCAATAATATGTTTATTATTGAGGTCAGCTAAATTTGGTGTTGTACTGGACTACATTAGATTTAGAGATGTCTCTATATTTTTGTCCTCCCCAGTTACATACATGAGAGGATCAGAATATTAGGATTTCAAAGGAAAGATAATGAGAAAGTAATGTGTCTATGTGGGCAATGCATATGTGGTGGTATTCATTGTTTATTAGCACCTTTATCCAAAGTGTTTTACAGTGTACCTCTTATTTACCCATTCATCAACCCCTGGGTTGTGTGTGTGCGGAGTCATAGTTAAATGTGGTGTTGTAATGGACTACATGATATTCATAGGTGTCTCTATATTTTTGTGATCCCTCTGAATATCATCTAGTCTAGTACAACACCACCTTTAACTACGACCTCAATGATAAATATATAATTCAATTTATACATGTATGGCAATTTCACCAAACACTGAAACATTTTGTGTTTCATAAACACAGATGGCAAGGCAGAAGTGTTGCATTGAAGTACATACAATTGTACGGGTGTACCTAATAAAGTGGCCAGGGAGTATAAATGTAATGGTGTCTGTTCTGTGTGAGAGGTTGTATGCTGGAATCTACTTTTGGAGATCCTTTTTATTCCTATATGTTTACATAGAAATACTGTATACAGTCAGTGCACATACAGGCTGTTAAGTGTGGCTAAAACGTACATACAAGAGTTGTGTCTGTGGTCATGTAATTTCCTCTACATAACATACTCCTTAGCATATGTGTACCTGTGTGCTCTTGTATGTCTTAGTGTGTACATGTGCACATGTGTATTTACAGTGGCGGTTAAGAGGACCTGACAGCTGTAGCGTTGTGTGGTGATCATCACCCAGCAGGGAGGGTGCAGGGGGGTGACACACGTCCCATTGACCGCCCCCTCAGGGAGTCCGGCTCCATTGTACAGCCTACCCACATCGCACATTCCTGGCCTGAACCATGCCATATCACCCTGCCTCCCTCCTCTGCACACAAAACACGCAAAGTTCTGGTCATACCGAATGCAACATCATGTACGCCCCCACTCCAAGCTAGCAAACACAGTCACAAAAGCGTGCACACAGACAGGCAGATGCACAGATACATTACAATGAAGAGAATCAACACTGTCAAGTTACAAAAATAAACAAACAGAGCTTGAACACAAAGGACAGGTCATGTGGCGACAAAACCACTTCACACACGGATGCCCCCCAGGTCAATAAAATATTACAACGCTTGCATAAATGTTTAAGTTACCTTTGTATCTGAGTGTTTCTTGCCATACCATGCCATAACAGGCATCAATCTGACATTTTGTCTAGTTTTTCTTCAACCTGAATAAAGACATGATTGTTGCAAGCTAAACAGATCAAAATAAGTTCTCATGACCACTGTGATATTCATTATTCCTATATATCACCTGCTGTTATTTCATCACCTGACATCTTGTTTTTATTAATGCTGCAATATTGAAATTATACTGTCCAACATGCAGTGAAAACATATTTAGCCAAAACTGAGTTTATTGCAGCTATAGCACTCTTTACCACAATGACAGCCAAATATAGTATATTTAAAGTACAGTAAGTAATGCTAACTCAAGTGGAAGCTAGCTTGTGAGATATCCACAGCCAGCTTTAACTACACCAAGATTTCCTTTCTTTCTTGTTAGCTCCTTCTATAATTGAAAAAAAAAAATCTCTGTTTTGATGGACTGATGTCTTGGTAATTCAGTCAGTCAGCCAAGTGAGGCAGTAGCTAAATCCAGTTACAATGAAGAAAAATACTGCTTAACTAATCTGCTAAAAGTTAGCTAATGTTAGCCTAGCTCAGCAGAGTACCAGTAAAGAAAACATCCGACTCCACCGGAATTCACAAATTGGTACCGTTAAACTTACATTTACTGATAACACATATGTCTTTTTTGTAAGATTTTTAATGCAGGGGTTTTACTTGTGAAGTATTTTTACAGTCTGGTTCTAGTACTTTTATTTAGGTAAAGCTCTGAACACTGCATAGTAGTTGTAGTCTTACAATGAAGACCTGCAGACAAACACTGAAGCAAGAACAGAGCGGTGTTCTTATCTTTTCTCAGTCAACCGCAGTGATTACTGATTTTCTATCAGCCAAAAAATCAACAGCCTATAACTCAACAAGCTTCTTCTGTCTGATCCTCCTCTCTGCAGCGCTCCACACACGACTGTACGCTCCTCATTATGTATCAATCAATCAAAGAAAATCCAGTGGAGGTTTCTTTCATGTGTTCCCCTCCACATGTAGAAACCACCTCGGCTCACTCGCTGCCCTCCCCCACCGCTGTGTTTGTGCAGTAAATCCATCACAGTCAGTCTGCAGCTGAGATCAACTGTGATACCCAGTACAAGCTCCAGATGCACTCACATCCAAACCCTGGTCTCACAGTAACAATACTAACACACATCTGTTAGTGACTAATTTACATACATTGATTCATATATCATTCATATTTTCTTACACATAGATATAATAGGGTTTTCTTTATTTCTCACTGCAGATTTCATTGGAAATCTTAAGAGTAGATTTAGACTTCCACTATTGCCCTCATTCAACAATTTACCTAAAGTATTGGAATGGACATAATTCTTCACACCTTAGTGTGATTCATAGGTTTTCTCAGCTTTCATACAGGTTTAGAAGTATCCAGCACACTCGGTAACACTCATGGTTAAGAGCTTGGAAAGTGAAAACTGAGCCATGCTCTCTCTATGAAATGCTTCCTCGTGGTCTGCCTGACAAGAAAAAGTAGGCCCGCTCCTCTCCTCACCACTGTGAAAGAACACAGACTGAATGCTAATAACATACACTTGGAATTTCTGTCTTGATCAGGTGACACAGGACAACAAGTGCTCGCTGTCTGCTCAAATGATGTTTTGGTGGTCCTGCAGCGCCCAAAAGAATGCAGAGGGTGAAACCAGATTCACTCTCTCTGAATGTTTCACTCTCTTCTTAACAGTTTCACACAGCTGTGTAAACCACCATCTATGCATGGAAGTCCTTCAAATATTTACTGTCACTTCAAAAACATTTTCATAGCAAATAGGAGGTGTGTATTTGTTTACTGTTCATTATCATCTGACACTGACTAACCAAGCAACTAATTATACTCTGATTATGGGGAAAAAGTGTTAGCAGAGCTGAAATGATTAGTTAATCAACAGGAAATTTATTCAGATGATGTTAGTAATTTCTGAAATTTTGTAACGTGACAATATGGGATTATCTTTGTCTGATGTGACAGTAAACTGTACAACTTTGGGTTTTAGCAGTTTGTCTGAAAATCAAGCAACTTTAAGATACTTTGGGAACTTATGATGAGTGTTTTCCACTATTTTCTGACAATTATTCTAATTAGCAGAAAAAAAAAATATTGATAGTTGCAGCCCATCTTGTTTGTCATGTAACACTTTATACAGGGAGTAGGTCATAGGTCAGAGAACACACAGAATTATGAGTAGGGTTTCAGCTCGCACAACATAACATACTTCACTCTTACAGCCCTGATCGTGAAGTAACAAACACACATCTGCAGGATGGAACTTTGTTTCAAAATGGCAGATGCCGCTACAACAAACACTCCACAGCACGTTCATATGGGACGTCTGCTTACTTCTCCTAATCAAAAACGCAGAGAGCAGAATTCAACCGCCACTTTCCAACCACCCGGGTGCCTTTGGTTTCTGTCCTGGATGAAAGAGCTTCCACATTCCTTTCCTGAGGGGTCAGAGGTCAGCCTCTGCGCTGCCTGACTGCCTGCCCGCCACGGCTGCCGCCTGCTGAGTGACTGTAACCCCTTCACTGCCTGCCGCAGCTCCACGCAGCAACATGTGAGAAGCATTTCATGGTTTGTCAGATTCTCTGTGGTGCTGAGGGGATGATGCAGG